AAAATGTTTGCTTCCCTTCAGTCTTATCGTTACGGAGTATCTTCATAAGAGCGCTCTTTGATTTTTCGCCTTTATTAAGAAAGGATGTTGCATAATGAGAATAGTTTTGATTTATTTCAAGTTTTTTATATAAAAAATTATATATGAAGACGGCAGGTATACTGTATTGTGTATAGTAGCGCTGATATGTACCAGCTTACATACTTCACGTATAAACTTCTGCTGCATATCGTTCAGGTCAGTAGCCATTATTTTATTCCGAAATATTCAAACTTCACATTTGTTTATCGACTACTTCACAATATCGAATCGTCGTCTGTCTACCTCGATTCAGTTTTACAGGATGAGTCAAGTTTAACCTGGACCATTGTAGTCAAGCACACTAATTTATGCTTGTTTATTGCGTTACATTGTATCCACAGAGATTTACTTCAATTACTTTGATAAGGTTATACAGAAGTGTGAACCATAGCATTCTCTGTTACATATTTTTGTTGTCTATGTATATTATCATTATTTTCATTCTCACTTCTTTTCAGCAAATTCCTTGGGAATATAAAAGAAGCTTATGATAAAAATCCAAATCTGAGTAATTTACTTCTAGATCCATTCTTTAAAAAAGTTATTGATCAATGTGAAGTAAGTTGTGCGAATAAATAATTTTCTACTTATTGGTTGGTTAACGATTGTGATAAATTTTATATTTTAATTACAGAATATTAAGTGTTATGTAACTTTTTTGTGTAGTTGTTAATTCACTTGGTGAACTATTAAACTACTCCATCTTAAAGTCATTTTAATTAAGCTACAAATACGTGATCGAGTTACTTTTTGCAATGAATCATAGTACAGTCCATTTGCGTCATCTTTACATTATTTAACCTTTTAAACGTACCAAGAATAATAGATGAAATTGTGAATAACTACTGCTTTTTTGGATCGATCATGCACAGACCAAATTGCAACACTACGGATCATCGTCGAACAATCAGTTGAGTGGAACTCATCACTATACATCAACTTCATTGATTATGAAAAAGCATTCGACAGTGTAGATAGGAGGACATTATGGAAACTTCTTCGACACTACGGAGTTCCTGAGAAGATTGTCAACATTATCCGGAACTCATACGACGGACTACAGTGCAAAGTCGTGCATGGAGGACAACTGACAGATGCATTCCAAGTAAGGACCGGAGTCAGACAAGGCTGTCTACTCTCTCCCTTCCTCTTTCTTCTGGTGGTCGACTGAATTATGAAGACCTCGACATCTGAAGGAAAACACGGAATTCAATGGACAGCTCAAAATCAATTAGACGATTTGGACTTCGCAGATGACCTAGCCCTCCTATCACGTACACACGAACAGATGCAGATGAAGACAGCCAGTGTAGCAGCAGTCTCTGCATCAGTAGGCCTCAGCATACACAAAGGGAAAACCAAAGTCCTCAAATTCAAAGCGGAAAACAACAATCCAATCACTCTTGATGGCGAAACTCTGGAAGATGTAGAATCCTTCACATACCTGGGAAGCATCATCGATGAACAAGGAGGTTCAGATGCAGACGTAAAGGCAAGGATTGGCAAAGCAAGGACAGCATTCCTACAGTTAAAGAACATATAGAACTTAAAACAACTGTCAACCAATATCAAAGTGAGAATCTTCAATACCAACGTCAAGGCAGTTCTACTGTATGGAGCTGAAACTTGGAGAACTACTACAACCACAATCAAGAAGGTACAAGTATTTATAAATAATTGTCTACGCAAGATACTCAACATCCATTGGCCGGATACCATCAGCAATAGCCTTCTGTGGGAGAGAACAAACCAACTTCCAGCTGAAGAAGAAATTAGGAAAAGACGATGGAAATGGATAGGACATACATTACGCAAATCGTCAAACTGCATCACGAGGCAAGCCCTAACTTGGAATCCTGAAGGGAAGCGGAAAAGAGGAAGGCCAAAGAACACATTGCGTCGGATAATAGAAGCATATATGAAAACGATGAATTACAACTGGAAGGAGTTGGAAAGGATTGCCCAGGACAGGATTGGATGGAGAATGCTGGTGAGCTGCCTATGCTCCTTCACGAGGAGTAACAGGCGTAAGTACTGCTTTTTTGAAAGAGAGAGAGTAACAGTGATTCCGTTGACAAACCAAAATTCAATAAGCATTTTAAACTAAATAGTGTATTAAGATAGTACTGATCATCGTAACATTGTGATAACAGCCTTGCTCTTGCTTCTGGACTTATGAGATAGCGTAAGACGATATCCAGTTATTCTATCAATTAAGGAATCCAACTTATAATTTTCATAGGTTTATGCAATTCTTCTATTCATCCTTATTTTTCTGGGCGCATAAATTCAGACAGGTTTATTGTTGGACCATGATCATCTCAATGAAATAAATAAGCTTTGTGCTTGAACTTGCTGCAGTTTTGTTAGTACGCAGAACAGATCAGTGCTGTCTCGTGCCATTCTGATCTGCTTGATTTACACTTCTAGCAATTATTATTTATATTGTTATTGTGATTTGGCTTTTAGGATGGATGGCGTAGAGTGGTTTCTCATGGAGCTTTAAACGCGATTCCTACACCTGTATTCAGCTCTGCATTATCATTCTATGATGGAATAAAATGTCCACATTTACCTTCTAATTTAATACAAGTAAGATTCGAATCCTGTTTGACTTTTTTATATATTGTCCATCAAATATGAATTTACCCTCTGTAACAACTTACGCCTCATGAAGGAGCATAGGCCGTTCACCAGTATTCTCCATTCCACTCTTTCATGGACAATCCTTTCCAGTTGCTATTCATCCTTTTCGTGTCTGCTTCCAATTCCTAAGGCATTATGTTACTTAACCTTTCTCTTTTCCGTTTTCCTTCAGGATTCCAAGTTAAAGTTCGCCTCGTGATGTAGTTCACTGATTTCCGCAATGTGTATCCCAATCACTTCTAATGTCTTTTCCTAATTTCCTCAGCTGGGTTGTTCTCTCCCACAGTAAGCTATTACTGATGGCATGTGACCAATATGTAGTGCAGTGTAGTCCGTCGTATGGTGGTTTGTTCGATCGTTGGTGGGGTGGCATCTATAGAAAAGTCTGTGTGTGCTGCTTTGATGTCCGATGGGTCTAGACTATTCAAGAGTTCCTCAAAGTATTCTACCCATCTGTCTTTCTGTCCTCGAATCTGGGTGATTGTCTTGCTTTCTCTGTCCTTGACCGGTCTCTCTGGTTTACGGTATTTCCCTGTTAGTTTTGTCGTGTCATATAGCTGTCTCATATTTCCTTCTCATGTAGCTTTTTCCACTGTCGCTGCTACGTCTTCCACTTTTCGTCTCTAATGCTCTTCTCCACTTGCTTGTTTGTTTCTGTGTATTCAGCTTGTTCCTTGACTTTCTCTGTTCTCGTTTGGCTGTTGTTAATTGCTGTCTTCTTGATCTTCCTTTCTTGAATCTTGTCTAGGGTTTCGATAGAGATCCATTCCTTATGATGATGCCTCTTGCAGTCCAGCGCCTCCTGACACGTTGAAGTTAATGCTTCTTCGATCCATTTCCATTTGTCCTGCATAGTAGCTTTTTCTTCTTTAAATGATCTTGTAAGTCTAAGAATCTGTTGTTGAGAGCTATCTTGAACGGGTTGAGTTTGTCAGCATTTCGAAGGAAGGCTGTATCGAACCTTTGTAGTGCTGTTTGTCCAGCTGTCGAATCCTTCTTTAACTTCAGTTTCATCTTGGTCACAACTAGGTGGTGATATGTCAGCTCCTCTCTTTGTTTTCACGTCTTCCATTGTCCTGAATTTTGTACTGATTCAAATATGATCTATCTGGTTCTCAGTGGTGTGATCCGATAAGACCCATGTAGCTTTGTGTGGGAATATTGTGCCGCCTATAACTAATTTGTTGAATGCACATAAGTTTACAAATCTCTACCCATCCTCGTTTCTCTCTTCCAATCCATGTCGTCCCATTATATCTTCATATCCGGTGTGGTATATCCCCACTTTGGGGTTTTATTCTCCCATCAGGATGATGAGATCCTTTCTTTGGCACTTCGCTTTGATTGATTGCAGCCCCTCATAGAACTGATCTTTATTGTCGTCGCTGCTACCATTGGTGGGTGCATAACATTGGATAACGTTCGTCGTAATTCCCGTTTTCTTTGTTTTGAAGGATCTTTTGATGATACTGGATCCGTGAGATTCCCATCCTATAAGTGCATTACGTGCTTCTTTAGATAGCATCAAAGCAAATCTCTGAGTGTGTGGAGCAGTTTCCTCTTCTTGGCCGGAGTACAGCAGCATGTCTCCCGTATCTAACCTTTTATGTCCAGCTTGGGTCCAATGGGTTTCGTTGATTCCGAGTACTACCAAGTTGTATCTCCTCATTTCCGTTGCTATTTGACTGGTCCTCTCGGTCTCCAACATTGTCTGGGCGTTCCATGTCCCAATGAAAATTGTTGCTCTGGTTGTTAGAAGGGGCACCGGCCTCGTGTCTTCCGAAGAATCTAGGCTTTCATCATAGTTCTTCCTTCAACTCCTAGGGCATATTTTAAATGGTTGAATTTGTTTAATCTGGTTAGCGTTTTTTTTAAAAAGATTTTTTCTACGGGATGGGGTTACCGACCCCACACCCAACCCTACTCCTTTACCCGGGCTTGGGGCCGGCAGTAACTCTAGAAGAGCTACAGGTGGAGTTTCTTTGAAACAAGCTTCATGAATTAAATAATCTTCATTTCCACTTTTAGGCTCAACGTGACTATTTTGGAGCCCATCAATTTGAAAAAACTGACAATCCAGGCACGTTTATTCATGTCGACTGGACAGGTCATGGCGGTTCAGCAGCTTCCACTACATATCAGGTTTAATTCTTAACAAATTTTGTGATATTTAAGCATACCTATATTATTTAATTAGAAAATGAAGAAACTTCTACGGATTATCACGTTTTCAAAATTTCTTCTTTTTATGAACGTTTGTCAGAAATAATTTCTTAGATAAAAAAAATGTATTCTTAGAATGATTTGTACAAGTTATTTCTTATATCACACCTAATAAATTACACTCTAGTAACCATCACTCGTTATTCCATCTCATCTCCAGAATCAAAAGCTTCGCGTTGTTCGTTATCCTCGCCGCCTATACCAGCACCTAACCTTGAACGATCACTGACTGAGGATACAGATATTTTTGAGGAGGTTGGTTTTGCATTCTTGCCTTCACAAGCAACTATTTTTATCTGAAAGTCGAGAAAAAGTATTAATGATTAGTTGTTGATACAGGTTTGTTAGAGAAACATTACTTTTTTGCCGGATACTAATAAAATTCTCTGCTATTAAACATACAAGCACAGCACATGCTAAATGTCAATGACCCAGTATAAGGTAACCTCTATTAGGATAAAAGAATGTCCTTTAACTATTGGAAAGCTATTCCTCAATGTATTGATTTATTGAAGCACACAAGTCTGTTCAATGGACGGAGAACTACATAATGCACAATACAATAAGTAATCCGAAGTCATTCTCCACGTTCTTGGACCACTTGGTAATGTAAGATAGAAACTGTATTTGAGTCACATAGAAAACACTGGATTTATGTTCTTAATGTATACTCATATCATTGACGAAACACTATAAATTTAACGTGAGATTCCAAGTCATATTGTTTCACTGTCTGTTTGTACTGTCGTAGTTCTAATTTAAAAGGAAATAACAGTCCAGACAGTTGATAAGTGTGTCTTATGTAAATACTTTTACTCCTAGCATAGCTGAACACATGATTTTGCAATTATTAACAGTTAAGTAAATTAAATAAATCATCTAGGCTCTGACCGAATAACGAACTACATTAGTCAGTAATTAGGATCTTTAAACCTAACAAGAACATTCACACCGAAAGGAAAACAGTGAAATAAGCGCCAAATAATGAAATCACTAACGAAGACTAAATATATATTGGACGGTTTAATGATGATGTAACTTATCTACTAAGGACAGATATATGCGCTATTCAGCTCTAAACTGCATTTGTTGAGGGCTAATGATACTACCCGGGTGCCAAACCGAAGTGAATATGAGGTGTGGGTTCGCACGTGCTAGCTACCGCCCTATCGTTCGATATGAGTAGATAAAGAACACAGGAAGGCTTTTAGACTTAAAAGAAAGTGATGCATACGTATGCACCACAGGGGATGCATTTCTAATTGTCAGCCACCTAAAGAAAACTGATGAAACCTTCAAGACAAGCGAGGTAGTCGGCGATCTGGGCTCCTCTACGCCCTTTGGTCATAATAGGTATTACGAAGCAACACTTCAGACTGAAGGGGAAGGATATAAGTCATAGATATCAGTGTATTACGGTGGTCGAAAGATTATTTTTTCCACCATATTTGCCAAATAAAACTCGTTTATGTACTGCAAGTTGCCAAGGACGGTGATCGATTCGCAGAAAGTTATACGACATGTGGTAGTGGAAGTGAAATATAATTGGTCGTTGAGCATAGACAAACAGGCGACTAGCCTATTGACAATTGGAGTCTACTCCGGACTCACTGAGTGCTACCGCTTGCAATTGTGACGAACAAAGCATTATCTATTGTTAATATGGTTCTCTATTCTGGGTTGTGAATCCTGGATTTGACATAACGTTACTAGTTTGATTATCATATTAACGTATTATCGTAGTATAGCTGAGAGAAATATATTTTAAACCATCCCTTATATTATGTGAAAAGTGTCATTTCCAGCGCATTCATTAGAAATTTTAAAAAAACATGATGGATAATCGTAAGAAACCATTGAATATAGTCAATATAGAAGCTAATCAGCTCTGACTCGGTCGCTGGAGTTACTTAATGGTCGTAGAATACTAAACCGAAACCTTATATTGATGAGTGTCGAGTACTTTAAGAATATTGCATACGCTTACTCTCAAGAACATAATTAAGTCTTACAATTTAGGCTTACCTTATCAACTGTCATAATAGCAGAGGAATCTTTTATTTCCACATCATTCATCACTAACGTCCATACATTGTCACAGTTCCTGTAAGTGTTCAGGTGACCACGAAGCGAAAGACGGTTTTTAACACGTTTTGCCAAAGCATTACTTATACATTGGTCGAACTTCTGCATAACCTAAGAAGGTTACATTTAACCATAGTGTCATATGGACTAAGTTACCTTGTGGTCCATTCCAGGCTGTAGTAGATTATGTGCTAGCATTTCATCTAGGGCTTCACGAAGGGTAGTCCCCAGTGTAGTGCTTCTGTACATTTCATGATAAGTCATTTTTGATAGAGAATTAAGTTTTAAAATGTTCTAAAACGAAACAGTAAAAAGGACGAGAGTAGTGCTACTGTGTAAATACGTCTGGAATTTCGAAGTTGGGACCAAACTTACTTTCACTTCGTATAAATACAACTGACAAGGCAGGTTTCTGTAGTTCAGTATCTAATTAACATTGAGGGTGGAGAGATTGCGTCAGGTAAATAAACATACTTCTTGCGGTCTGCAGATCGGATGACCGGCGAATTACTGAATGAGTGTCCTTAGTAAATATTTGCAAAATGTGTCTTGATTGTGACTCTCGAGTATAGTATTTCTGTGTGCGTTTAAAACCATCAACCTACAATTGTCGAAACATCTGCTACAAGCCATTACTATTCTTGCTAATTGACTAGTAAACAGTTGTCAGTACCATCGGTCTATATCATCAAACACATGTTTAATTAAACTATTAAAATGAGCAAATAATACTTCTCATGATAGGTGATCAAGAGTAATCAGTAATAATCTATGAGAAGGTCGAGACATTACAGATTTGCGAACTCGAGGTTTTTGTCACTGCTTAAATTGGAGTTAGTGCGACCTAGTCCCACGGGGAAGTAATCATTGTAACTAGTCCTTCGACCAGAATCCCTTATGACTTAATGTGGAATCACAACGAAGAAGCACTTAGCGACAGATAATGGTAAAGGTCGGAAACTCCGTTACTGATATAAGATATGACATTTATACCAATAAAGTGGTGTTATTTATTATTATTATTTATTTGAGCACATAAATATTGGTACAAGAGAGCGCCAATATATATGCGCCACACAAAACAATGAAAATTCGAAGGGAGAAAAGAAAAAAAAACTAAGGAGCACAAAAGAAAAAGAGAACGATAACAAAGAGATTGGTGAAAGGTAGTGCGGTCGTAACGATGGAACGACAGCCCACACACAAACAATGAACTCTATGACTACGGCAACTAATAAAGTGGTGTCACAAATTACGACTAAATTATAGCTGTTAGAAGCAGGCTCCCACTTTAAGATGCACTTATCCCATATAATCCCGATTTATTCTTTAGACTTCTAATTACACCGTAAGCAGGATGAGTGAAAGGTTTACAGTTTGGTTGACATCATGTATCAGCACGACTTCGAAATTTACTAAGGGGTGAAAGGGATTAGGTCATAGATGGTTAGAGATTTACCAGTTCGAAAAGTAATGTAGTGAGTCATGCTACTCGAACAGATTACCGGCAAGACTTTTTCAACCCGAAGTTATTTTTCATAGCAGTCAGCATAATGGTTATTGCGAATTTGCCAAGATAACCATGTTTTGAAAATTACTTGTATTCCACAAATATAAGCACTTATTTTTCAAGAAACCAGCGTCCTATTACGTTAGTGAATGGCTCATTAGAATTCGTATTGTTATAAGACTCGTGATACAACAACCGCCTCATTCAATACACAATTACTCTGAACTACCAATAATACATTAGCATTACCTATGACATACTGGGTGGTGATAACACCCGATATAACCCGACCAGCAGTTCTCAAAGCTCGGATAAAGCTATTTTAGTAGGTACTTCGGTTCTTAACTAAATGTTAACCAGAGCAATAAAGTTTTGAGGATTATTATATTTGAACAATCCACAACAAAACAATACACATCTGAAGAATCCACCTAAATATAGTCAAACTACATATTTATTGCATAAAACTGGCCATTTGGTTAACAAGAACCGGTGCTAACCATTGAATCGAAGGGTTGGTCGGATTTGTACTTGCTAATGTCTGAACTTTTACTGAAAGGCAATTTACCGAGTAGGTGTAAATGAATAAGGTATTGGATGTTTTTGAAAAATAATAAAACCAAAAATACACTCAATTTTATTTCTGTTGCGTTTTCGATTATTTCTCACATTATTTTCGTAATAAACACCCAAATACTATACGGTGTTAGACAAGGTCAAAAAACGGCTACAACCTGACTTCAGGGTCACTGTGCAGCTTTCAATATCCTCTCGACGTTCCAGTGTAAACTAGATTATACATTCGCCATTATAGTTTAGTTCTGGATAATAGGTTTATATCCTCAGTATTATTCTTAACTGTGGATTTAGTTGCCTGTTTTCAACAGTCACTGTATTCCCATTCATGTAAGCCTTGAAGTGTCATGGGGGTGAAGTATAGTCATTCTACTAAAAATAACTTTCCATACACTCTTATTGAGGACAATGCTGCACATAGTCTGCTAGAGTCATCTGATCCTAAATGAATTCAACCGGCTTGTATTGTTGCGGTAAAACCTGAGAACAAATACGTGGAAATACTCGTTTGTGGGAAATTTAGTTGACGATTTTATTATCATATTTGCAATAACACAGATCTCAGAACCAGGAAATCCAATGAGTTGCCTGATGTTATTTCATCCAGGGGGGTTTATTCTCAGTCCTTAGTCCATTTCTTTACATGTTGACAGTGCTGTAGGGCTTGTGGCGGTAAATCCCGAAACGAAAAACGAGTGTATTTCGACATGGACTTACATATTCATTTTTATTTTCCAGGACGACTGGAAAAGACGATAAAAAGAATGATGAACTTGACAAAGAACCGAAATTTTTATTGTATTTTTTTTTACTATGTTGTACTTCATGGTCTCTTATAGTAAGGAAAGACGTTGCTAAAACTCACAAGCTATCAGAAGAGTGTTTACCAACGACAAACTCGTTGGGTTTGAACTTTTGGCTAGCCACGCCTTAGAGTCATCACTACCCCACTAGGAGGAGGAGTGATCTGTAGCGCAAATAAATCTCCAAAATAAATAGCTCTACAAGTTTTCAACATTGGATGCTAATCCCATTAGTTTTAATGGACTCACCTAGCTGAAGGCTCTCGGGTTTGCATCTACACCAGATCACGAGTGGGAACGTCGTGCCCAACATCCTCTTCAATTGCTAGCCAGATTAGATCAGACGATCTTCGATATATTGATAGCCTATGAAAAATATCTTCGAACCTCCTCGCTTCTGTCTTTTGATTTAACTTGGTGTGTACAATTCATATTAGGGGTTACTGGTTAAAGCGTTGTCAAACACGTATACCTGTAGCAGCTTCAGGTTGGTGAAATTTTAACAGCGTCGGGCCACTGAATATCGGACGGTTTTCTGATCCTTGTCAATGTCAAGGACAACGGCCGCGCATCAATCAACTGCGCTCTATGAACTGGCCTATGAACTCGTGCTGATTACACTTTATTCCTTGAGCTTGCTGTTACTACTATATTTCTTTAATTATGTCATTTGTGTTGTACGGCCATCAAAATAGCCGTGGTAGCAGGATACAACGAAAGGGGAACCTACGTTAGACACCTATCGTGATGTGTAACTTTGGCGTTAACTGGTTGGCCACGCAGTGACTGCCTAACTAGAGTAGGCCGCCGATCAGTCGACTCAGATCGTCCACTTTGGCGATCTACACTGGTGAGCAAGATTTTATTTGGGTACATTCACTGCGGATAAGTCAAGCCAGCCGAATATCTATACAACTATGATTTACTTCGTTATTAATACTGCTCTAACAATATAATTAATCTCAAAATCGTAAATTTTTCATTATGTAACTGTTTAATCTATATGATCTTACGTGTAAGTCACATCATTGTCCACACTAACTCATCGTATTGTAATAATTACCAATATATGATGGAGAACACATTTAGGCTGGAGATAGAACAATGTATTTAATATGAATAAAGGAGATAAGTTACACAAGAATTACCAAGCCTGCAAGCTGAGCCCTGCCCTCCGATCAAACTGAACTTTTCATAGTCAACTATCTCTGTGTATCAATTGTTGAAAATAAGTTTTTTCAGTAACTATATTCTCAGCTTCAAATGCCGTGTGGTTAGGCTACAGTGCCACTACATATTTTCTGACAAATTAGTGACACTCTTAGCATGGATAGCGCATTAGTGGGTATTCTCAGATTCCTCAACTAAGTGTGCTTCGTTATCTCCTCGAAGGGCAGACACGGCTGAGCTCTGTAGTCGTAGGTCCCTTTTGAGATCTTGGAAGATTTCTCGAACCAAACGCCGGAAAGTAAACTTAAGAATGAAATGTTCAGTATTCTTTTAGTAACGGCGAATCTCCTGAAGGGCAGCATTTTTAAGTTTGTTTCTGTGAGGCTTCATCATGCCATCGGTTGCTGTGGAGCTTTTACATACGGTCTAAGTGGCCAGTTGCTTTCGCTGTGTTTTACCACCACTTGGATTATGAGGAGTCTGCCTAGTACTTGCCGTTGCAAAACACTGAGAGACGACGACGGGACGGCAGAGGCATACTTGTTATTTGGACCACCTAACGAATTTGAGATAGGACGACTGAGATTATTCGCTGCGAAGTAACTACCTCCATTAACTGACAATGCCAAAGAATGTGCTCTGCAACTTGCATTGAAATGGTGTTCTCCAGATGATGGTAGTAATGAGCGATATATTCGAAATGTATTATGTCCTTAAGATGATTGGTTTTGGAGAGGTATTCTCTATCAAAGGAATACTGGGCACATTCCCCAAAACGGTCTTGGGATTAAACTTGCTGATGTGACTTTCGACGGCGTATACTTGCCCTTGCAGAATATATTATGTTATATTATCTCAGGTGTAGTATTCACCAACATTGGATTATGACCAAGTATCAGTTCAACACGCTTATGTGTTACTTTCCAGCAAGTTTAGTTAAAACTTGATCCTTTTGATACCATTTCATATGGTGCTTTTCACCTTCTTCCTTACGCGTTCACTGAGTTTCCTTGTTTTTCCTGAAGCGCATAGATATTGTTGTAGTCCAGACATAGTTATGGCTGCAGCCATGTTGCTTCTCTCTCCTTTTAATTGTGCTGCGTGCATTGACTGGAATTGTTCACTTTTTGGTTGTGAATTGAAGCACTCTTCTAGAATTAAAAGCAATCTGTATGTGATCTATTTAGAAAGAATAGAATGACATTTATTTGTTGCACTTGATTCGACTAGTGATTGAACAGTTATTGGTCGAAGATTTGGGTGGTAATACTTGTCCAGGTAATACGTATTTATATGTATGATAAAATCTAGAACAGTCTTTTACCCAACTACCTTATTTTGATTTCTACTGGAAAAATGTAGACAGTTATTCATTATTCTGAACTTAGTTTGAGATCTGAAATAACTAACATACTTTTCGAACATACGTACAGGCCTTACATATACAGAAGGCCTGTAAATGTATAACAAACACTGTGATGTCAGCGAGATATCACTGAACCCTAATCGGACTATTCACCAAGCTGAACGGACCCATACCATAAGGGACTATTTGTATGGTGTTGAATGGGTTTCTTAAACACCGTCAAAGACATCGAGAACTAATCCAGACTGACTAACCGTTGATGTGGTCTTGGAACCTGTGTGGATTAACTCTTTTTACCCTACTTGCGAAGTCACTTCAGTAGTAAGACTCACTCAATTATCTTCTGACACTAAAAAACAAGCTAACTTGAGCTCATCGACAAATTTGTCCAAGTCAATGAGTCCCTAAATGGTGTTGTTTAGACTGAAAACATACACATTATGAGTATCGGAATCGGGTGTACCGCGACTTTCAATCCCAGTTAAACAAGGGTACCTTCCAGCACTAAGTTTCAAAACACAGAAATGACAGCTGCAAGTAAAGGGATTATGAGACAGCTGTATAATACAATAAAGAAGCTGACAGAAAAATGTAATTTTTATTCAGGCTGGATGTGTAGTGAACCGCTGATGCCTATCCGAAATTAATCACCTTTGTAGTGGCATTGGACTATAACCACACAATCCTCAATGCTGAATACGAGATTACTCGGAAAATAGATATTTAATATTTAACGCGAAGACATACCTAACAATGGAGAAGGTGCGAACAATGAATCGAAGGAATTAGAGTTGATCGAACGGCATGGCTCGGCCATGCAGGCGTGGTCTCTGCTGAATGTTATCTTATATCTTCTATTCATATTAAATATATTGTTCTTTCTCTAGCCTGACCTTGTTCTACATCATGTATTGGTAATTGATACGATACAGTGAGTTGGTGTAGTCGATGGTGTGACTTCCACGTAAGATCTTATAGATTAGGCAGTTATATCATGACAAATCTACAGTTTTAGGATAAGTTCCATTATTAGAGCAGTACTAATATCATAATAGACCATAATTCTACACCCTAACTAATCAAATTCAAGTATGTTCGGTTTGACCAAGATGTATTGCAAAGAATCAGTTCTGACACACACTATCAGCTGGTGATTTTCAACCAAGAACCAAGACACAAATTCGAAACACCACATATAGAAATTTTATCTTCTCCTCTAGATACTCAGTACATTGGTCTCACGCTCACTTACCAGCCAACAAAAAAAGCATATCAATCACACAGATTCAAGAGCGAGGGGACAAATAAATTAAAAACTTTGAAGAGCTCTTGAGTAGACCGACTCCATTGAACCCACCTGATGTCGAGGCAGTATACACTAACCTTTCTATATAATTTACCTCACCGTTAATAGAAAAAATCTTTGAGTCCATCAAACAAATCAGAAATGACAAAGCAGAACAATCAGGTAAAGTAGCAGCTGAAGTACTGAAGTCATACATTAAAGTAATTGCAAAGATGTTGACATTCTCTCCGTGAAATGTTTGAGAAAAAATAGGTACAAAGAAGCTGGGAGGAGTGATTCTCCATTTCTATACCGTCGTGTAAGAGCTACTGAAGTGTCACACTACTATCAGTCGGCAATAGTGTTGTTGAACAGAATGCAATGTTCGATATACGCGCAACTTTGAGATCAACATGCCAGTTTTCGTGAGAATCGATTGCATACCTGTAGTGTCTAGTACCAATACACACTTAAATGCTTCGTCCTAGCTTTTGAACAAAATTTAATAACTCAAACATCGTATAATATTGAGTCATTTTTAGCTTCATAATAACTCTATTCTTTTGGTAAGGAAATGTGATCTTCAGCACACATACACGTTTTATTTCTATGTTTTCGTATTTTTACACTTATACGCCTTGTATGCACTTTCGTGTGTTTGTCTATCACTCATCATTTTGTTCAGTGTTTGTCTCTCTAA